CGGGAGCGCCACCGCACTCCCAAGCGGCGCACTGTAGCAGTGCGCCACCGGGCCAGCCCCTTAGCATCATTTCTTTTGCCAGGAGATAACACAGGCCTCCGAACTGCTAACGTGCATTAATGTCCTAGACCAGAGTAAATGTAGTTCTTCAGGGAATCTACTGGAATGTCTGCAGGACCACCTGAGTGTGATTTTTTTTACTCCTGGATCACACTGCTGTGAAATGCGCCCTAAAGCTGTGGATTTACAACATGGGCTGTTGCAGAATAATAAACAGGGTATATATTAAATTGATGTTATCACAACATTGTTTACTCTGGAAATTATAAGGGCNGTTGCGATCCGTTGCCGGACACGGAAAAAGACAAAAGACAAAAAAAGAAAAAAAAAAGAAAATTCAGAGTGAGGCCTCGGGGAGACTGAGGAAGACTCCAGCTCTTGGTAGAAATGACCTCCTTCGTGAACAGGCTGTGGAAGCCAAAGGTGACCTGAAATGTGTCAGGCTGTGCTGTCACGTGGATTTGTCAGACATATGCCCCCCAACCCCCACACAAGCACCAGAGAATCAACCGTGGATGTATTTCTTTCATTTCCATTCTAAGAATTAGGGCGTGGTTGAAATGTAACCTAATATAAAGTAAAGTGAGCTGAGTTTCAATGATTTCATTTTCCAAGATAAAAACGTCATTGATTCAAGGACGGATCACCAGTGTCTGTCCTATGTGGATTTCCTTGAACCAGCTCTCCAGGCGCTTGTCTTCAGGCTCGGGGCCCCTCTGTTCCCTGGACCACCGCCCAGGCCAGGTGCTTAGAGAAATAGGAACCCAGAGAAGTGTTCACGGGTTACTTCCAATGACCATGTAATCAGGAAGAGAAAAATCCAACAAATGGTATTTAAAATGAAACGAAAAATTGACCTTCCACCACTGTTCTTCCAAACAGAACCCAACCAAGCATCCCGTAAACAGTGTTCAATCTGTAAATCATGTCATCTCCGGCTACGAACGACATGGCAC